AAATAGAACATAGCAGCAAAAGATAGTCTCGATCACCAATAGACTTCCAAGAGCTCCACTGATATCCTTTTTCGCCTTCTTACATTCTTTTAGATCCTGTGCCATTGAAGTTCGATTTCTCAAAATTGTTTCTTCACTGCTGATTAACAGACTTAAACTCATCAGTACCAAAAGAGCAAAATGTCTTCTGCCCTGAATACCCATCATGGAAGTCCAAACAGAATGGCTAAACAGCTATAGAAAGCGATGCTCTGAAATTATTTTGAATTAGCGTGCAGGGGAGGCTTTTTTTAAATCTATGGTTGTATAGTTTGTCGTCGATGAGAGGGATGATGTATAGTGATATGGCAACCGAAAGGTAAGATCGTCACATGCTTTAACGTTTGGTGTATACGACACGTTCTCATAAGTTAAACACGAACCCACCCCCCCTACAGATTATGTTATTATGAATATTGATCCAATGGAGTCTAGATGTCCCTCGTAGATAAAGGGAGAAGTCAGTTTTTTTTCGAGTTAAACTTGAGTTTCAGTTTCCTGGTTAATTCACATCTTTTGTTTTGCTAAATAATTGATAATTCAATTTAACTATTCCTGGAAAATGTTATTCAAAGGACAATCCAATCAATTCATCAAAAAGTTAACAGCCACCCCCCCTAAAAAGACCCTGGCTAATGAAGCGAAAATGAAATATTTTTATTTTTTTCCGGTCCGGTATCCTATACAATTGTTCGTTCTGATTGGCTGTTTGAGCGGGCGGTATTTTGTCAGTATCGGCTTGCGCTCGCGGTCCGGTATCCTTTGCCGCTAAACAACAAAACAAAACGATTACAAAAACAAGTAAAAAAAATACGAGGAAAAAATAAATAAGTTATCTACCGTCCTATAGTCGGTCCGGATAGGGAAAAACTGTGCCCGCCGTCTTGAAAACGTATATTCAAGACCTCGGGCACAGTTTTTCCCTATCCGGACCTTTTGGCCGGTAAATAACATATATGTATTCATACCAAGTAACGGACAAGATTTCTGTGGTTTTTTTTAATGCAAATTCAACTCACGTGAATGTCACAAGTTTCAGTTTCTAGCTTTCTAAATTACAAATCTTCCTGTTATTGTCCACGTAAWGTTTCGATATAGTAAAAAATTAAATGTGCAAAATATCATAGAAAAATTAAGTTTCAATATACAAGTTTACGTTTGGAGTTCAAATGTTTAAGTTTAGTTAATTACTTATAGAGCGTTTTCACGTGACGTCACAGCGGTCATGTTGGCGTACCAAAACTACATTTTTATCCTTGGGGAATTTAACTTAACTCTATTTTTATGCAAAAACTGTGCAGAAAGTTTGGTACTGAACAATATGGCTACCTTGTGATGTGAGAGAAAATGCTCTATTATGCAGTTACCAGCCTTACGTTGCGTAAGAATGACCTTTTTCAGAAATAAGACACTCCTTATCCATAAAAAACCGAGTTTTTTAATAATTTGGGCTCCAACTTTTTTTTTCGGTGCATYAATAGCTACCAAATGAGGTCTAGGACCCCATTCACACCTAAACGTGTTTAGTTRAACTATGTTTTCATTAGGAAAAAAATTGAGAATTTAGAAACCTACAATATAATGAAACTTTCTAAAATATTCTCAGAGCAAGACAAAGGATAGCTTACACGCATTATTTCACCAAATATTGTGCAGTGCTCGTAGATAGTTTTCCGAACCCGTTTAGTTAAACCACTTTAAAACAAGAGGCATAATATTCATCATGTAAAGTTATGATCTCAAGCTCTWTCCCCATGTACGCTCATAATTTTGATACATCAAAATAGAAGGTGMTTAGTTTGTGCTAAGAAAATCGCCCACGTAAATGGTTTGACGTTAAAAAGTAGCGGTCGCTTCTCATTAATAGAAATTAAAAACCGAGGCCCGCACGACTTTGCGACTTGCGACTTTCGAGTCGTGCCATCTTTGCATGGGATGTATATGTTCTTTTCTCTCGGTGTTTAACTTTTACTCCGCAACCTTTTTATATCTACTGCAGACGACGAGTACACGACAAAACATACTAGAGAGTTTTAGATTTACGTTCACGGCAAACGTGAAACGTCAGTTGACCAGTAAAAAATTCATTTAAATTACTGAATAAGAATCGCAAAAAAGTCCAAGTAGTAGAAAAATAAAAGAGTATTTTCGCTCGGTGAGAAGGTTTGTAAAAGGTAAAGTGAAATAAAGGTAAACTATGAAAACGTGGTCACGTTTGCCGTTTGCGGGGAGAAAAAAAAGTCAATCTAAAACTCTCCACTGACCAAAATCCCCTGCAGTCTGTGTGTTATCTGGTAACTCGGCATCAACAGGATCCTGGAAATGACATATGAGAGATARGTTATCTATTATATGTTATTATCAAATCAATAATAATTATTGATAATTTATTAATATCGCAATAACTGTAATGTTTTAGATTTTCCTGGGAAACTATATCTATTTGTTCCAGGACGCATGCAGGCAATGATTTAGTATTGAACAATATAAAAAGATATTTCTGTGGTTATAATAAATATTAAAATAATGTCATTTTACCTGATAATCCTCCAATTTCGCTTCTAAAAAGGGACAAAGAAAATATGTTTTAAAATTTAGTTGAACCTTTTTCACTAAATAGCTAAATAACCATGCTTAGTAAAAATACACAGGTGATTATTGAAAATCTCGCGCGCTGATTGGTCGAGAAACTCACACTATCACACGCGATAATCACCTCCAGCGATAATCCAAAATGGCGGCCAGCCGCTTTGTTCCTGTTACCGGAAAAGAAATGTCTTTTATCTTCTTTTTTTTTTTCTTTTTTTGAAAGAATCACCTGTGTATTTATACTAAAACAATTATTTGCCTCAGCCTCAGTGAATATCGGAGAATATTTACCTCGCCGCTCGAAGACTCTCGTCTCGGTAAATATATTTCCCGATATTCACTTCGCCTTCGGCGAATAATTGTTAAATAATGTTTGTTTTATTATAGATTTATCAATATATCTGATGGATATATTGATGCTTACCGGAGTTAGTTTCTGGATCTTTAGCTGTTTTTTTTGATAACCTTTGTGGAGAAAGTAAARCCAAAAGTGAAACTCTAATATACCTCGTCGGCTCTGGCGCAATGTTTTCCCACGTGTCATCCCCTAGAGTATCGTTTCTTTGTTTAACGCTTGCGCTCGGTTACACATGGGAAGACACATGAATAAGAATACAACTCGAATAAAGATTCTTATTAGTCACGGGAATGACACGTGGTCTGAAATAGGAAAACGTTTACGCTCGAGCCGAGGAGGGCTAGCCTAAAGTACTGAACATTATTTATCGCCAATAAGAGAGCATTAAGTSACCCCAATGATTTTCCCTTACTAGAGCTTGAGTTCTAAGGGTGTTCCCCTTTCATACAAGTTATTCTGCAGCTGATTACTTCTCCAGTTGTCTCAAAACAATTCGATCGTCCGTTCCAACCTAAATCTTCAGACCCTCCCCACCTTCAGGTAATAATTAACAAAAGGTCCCTAAATCTAAGTTAATAGAGATTTTGCACCCTCACATGATGACAGCCATGACAGGAGATAGGAACATTTGAATCTGGTCTAATCTGGTTTACATAAAAAACAATTCAGTTTCCCACGGGAAAAAAATCTTTTGTAGTACCTCTCAGTGTCATCGTTGCCATCACGTGGTGGTACAAAGCCTATTATCAAAATTCATTTTTATTTACCTTCTCTTTCGTCTTATATACAGCGCCACAATTATAAGACACACCAAACAGATCAAGCAAATTAGTCCTCCAATAATACCCACTGCAGGCCAGACGACCTTAGACCAAAAGCCATATGCAGCCGGTCCTTYATTTAMTGYCTGCAAATGTCATCATAATTCGTATACAAATTGCCTTATTCCATCCTTCCAATATTTATCATTCCATCTATSCATTAAGCTATTCCTCCCTCCCTATTTCCTATTTTCTCTTCTCCCATCCTCTCCCTCAGCCTCATTCATTCACCCATCCWTGCAAAGGCAAGATAACAGTCTGTGTTTCCGTACAAATTCTACGTCTTTTTTAACCTTTATACCTGTTGTTTCACTGTTGATTGAGTAGTACCAATTTCTTTACCAGTGCTACTAAAACCCGTCCCAGGAACGCCTGAAACACCTGGTCTGACCGTTGTAGATCCCGGAGTCGGTCCTGGAGTAGATTCAGGAGTCGAGGCTCCACTTGTCTCGGGCTCTCCTGATGTTGATGGCGAAGGCGACGCAGTGGTTTCCTGTGAAATTGGAGTTGATGGAGTACTTGTTGAAGGATGTTGTGACCTCGTTGAAGGTGGTGCACTCGTTGTGCTGTGTAATATATTGTCTAAAATCAAAAAAGTACTCTTATAAATGACAAATGATTTGGGTGCTGCCTCAATGGTACCAGGCGGATGATGTAAGGAGTTCAGGATTCTCTGTATTTATTTTAAAATATAAGTGTTATGTGCTCAGATATGACATCATAACCATCATGTTGGTTGACTTTCATATCAAAAGATTTGGTCTTGGTTTCTTTCGTTGTGTCAACCAACATGGTGGCCATGTCTTTAATTTGCCGTTGTGCATGTGACATCATAGCCACCATGTTGGCCGACTTTCATACTAAAAGATTCGGTCTGGTTTCTTTTTTTGGGTCAAAATAAACAACATGGTGGCCATGGCAGTATTCGCTCTTGCAGAAGAGGATACACATCTTTTAAGATTTAACTGCCGTTTTGTCAACGCGTGGGACAATCACGACAGGGCTGCCAGGCTCCAACTATGAATAAAAACCCAAAGACCAAACAACTCACATGTTTTTGTGCCATTGATCTTGGCCAGAATACATCCTACATTTCTGCCTGCACAACTCAGTGAGAGTTTGATGAGCGATCCTGCGTACTTGGCGTCTAGCTTTGCATTCCACTGAGGAAGAGAAGGTTTTTAAAGGGGCTATTTTTAGCATCATTTGTCCTTATTTGAGTCAAAAAGCTGAGATTGGAAGAGAAGGAGGAGGAAGAGAAAGAACGAGAAGGAAAAGAAGACGTCGAAAAGAGAGAAGAAAGGGGAGAAAAATAAAAGGAAAGCGAAAATAGGAAGAAAACGACGAAGAAGATTAAGAAAATGAAGAAAATGAATAAAAAAAAGAATAGCTGAGGAAAAAAATAAATTATTAAATAATTTTATGAGAGCACGCAGCACGCACGCGCACTTTAAGTTGCGTCATTCCTATCTAAAATAACGGTTATTGTAATTTGTATTTTATAAAAGAAAAAAAAAAAAACATGCATTCTTTGCTGTGTGGAGTTATAAAGCATTAGGGATTGTTGGCAGAACACTCGAGAAGTGTCGAGAAGCACTCCGCTTCGCCTCGTGCTTCTCCTAACACTTCTCTCGTGTTCTGCCAAACCCAGCGTGTTTTATAACTGCACACAGCACGCGAGCGCGTTTTCTATTTCTTTATTACCATACCTTTAAAAACGTCAAGTTCTTCTTGTTCCCGTCTTTTCCATCAACAGTCTTAAAAACAACATCAAAGACATTTCCWACGCCATTTTCCCAGTGTCCATTCACATCCAGGGACTGCCATTCATCGACTGACAGGCCATTTTYAGCACAATCAACATGAGGCAAGTCGTTTTTGAATTCAATTTTTCCCGTTGCAGTTTCTGTAAGTGGTATTACTTCTAGGGGATTGTTAGGTGTTCCGAAGCTGTATTGACAATCTATAATAATAATATACAATAATAAATAATGATGATGATGATGATAAGGATGAGGATGATGATTATGATGATGATGAAATTAATAAGAATAGCAAGCTATTGACAGAGGAGAAARAGTTGTGTGTGCTTTTCTTGATCTTCGAAAAGCTTTCGATGTGATTGACCATGCCACTCTGTTAGAAAAACTGCAGTCACGCGGAGTGCTYGGAACAGAACTGGATTGGCTAAGAAGTTATCTTTCCGAAAGAACTCAAATCGTCTCATGCGGTGGTACTAACTCGACTAAGTCTGAAATCTCTTATGGAGTCCCTCARGGGTCGGTTCTTGGACCAACCCTCTTTAACGTTCATATTAATGGGATCACTAATGCATGTCAAAACTGTCACGCCACACTATATGCTGATGACACTGAAGCCCACGCAAGCT